TGATAAGCCCAAAGCCTGCAAGACCAACAACTTCTTCACTGCAAACACCTTTTTTCACCAACATAAACAGCAACTATACACATGGACCTCACCAGTTGGAATACACAAGAATCAAATCAACTACATCTGTGGAAAGAGACGATGGAAAAGCTCAATATCATCAGTCAGAACAAGGCCAGGGGCCGACTGCGGAACAGACCATCAATTGCTCATATGCAAGTTCAAGTTGAAACTGAAGAAAATTAGAGAGCCAAAGTACGACCTTGAGTATATCCCACCTGAATTTAGAGATCATCTTAAGAACAGATTTGACGCGTTGAACATTAATGACCGAAGACCAAGTGAGTTGTGGAATGACATCAAGGACATCATACATGAAGAAAGCAAGAGGTCATTAAAAAGACAGGAAAGAAAGAAAAGACCAAAATGGATGTCAGAAGAGACTCTGAAACTTGCTCTCGAACATCGAGTAGCTAAAGCAAAAGGAAGAAATGACGAAGTAAAGAGCTGAACAGAAGATTTCAAAGGGTGGATCGAAAAGACAAAGTAAAGTATTATAACGACATGTGCAAAGAGCTGGAGATAGAAAACCAAAAGGGAAGAACATGCTTGAAATTTCTCAAGCTGAAAGAACCAAAGAAAAAATTCAAGCCTCAAGTTGCAATAGTGAAGGATTCTATGGGGAAAATATTAAACAACGCAGGAAGCATCAAAAGAAGATGGAAGGAATACAGAGTCACTGGACCAAAAAGAATTGCTTGACATTCAGCCATTTCAAGAGGTAGCATATGATCAGGAACCAATGGTACTGAAGGAAGAAGTCCAAGCTGCACTGAAGGCACTGGCAAAGAACAAGGCTCCAGGAATTGACGGACTATCAATTGAGATGTTTCAACAAACAGATGCAGCACTGGAAGTGCCCACTCGTCTGTGCTAAGAAATTTAGAAGACAGCTACCTGGCCAACTGACTGGAAGAGAACCATAATTATGCCTATTCCCAAGAAAGGTGATCCAACCAAATGTGGAAATTATCGAACAATATCATTAATATCACATGCAAGTAAAATTTTGCTGAAGATCATTCAAAAGTGACTGCAGCAGTATATCGACAGGAAACTGCCAGAAATTCAAGCTGGATTCAGAAGAGGACGTGGAACCAGGGATACCATTGCTGATGTTAGAAAGCACAGAATACGAAAAAGATGTTTACTTGTGTTTTACTGACTATGCTAAGGCATTCGACTGTGTGGATCATAACAAATTATGGATAATATTGCAAAGAATGGGAATTCCAGAACACTTCATTGTGCTCACAAGGAACCTGTACATAGAGCAAGAGGCAGTTGTTCGAACAGAACAAAGGGATACTTTGTAGTTTAAAGTTAGGAAGGGTGTGTAGCGGGGTTGTATCCTTTCACAATACCTATTCAGTCTGTATGCTGAGCAAATAATTCGAGAAGCTGGACTATATGAAGACGAATGGGGCATCAGGATTGGAGGAAGACTCATTAACAACCTGCGATATGCAGATGACACAACCTTGCTTGCTGAAAGTGAAGAGGACTTGAGGCATTTACTGATGAAGATCAAAGACCACAGCCTTCAGTATGGATTACATCTCAACATAAAGAAAATAAAAATCCTCACAACTGGACCAATAAGCAACATAAATGGAGAAAAGATTGAAGCTGTCAAAGATTTCATTTTACTTGGATCCACAATCAATGTCCATGGAAACAGTAGTCAAGAAATCAAATGATGTATTTCATTGGGCAAATCTGCTGTAAAAGACCTTTTTAAAATGTTGAAAAGCAAAGATGTCACTTTGAGGACTAAGGTTTCCCTGACCCAAGCCGTGATATTTTCAATTGCCTTATATGCATGTGAAAGCTGGACAATGAATAAGGAAAACCAAAGAAAGCCTGATGTCTTTGAATCATGATGTTGGTGAAGAATATTGAATATACCATGAACTGCCAGAAGAATGAACAAAAATACCTTGGCAGAAGTACAGTCAAAATGCTCCTTAGCAGCAAGGATGGCGAGACTGTCTCATATACTTTGGACATGTTATCAGGAGGCATCAGTCCCTGGAGAAGGACTTCATGCTTGGTAGAGGGTCAGTGAAAAAAAGGAAGTTCCTCAATGAGATGGACTGACACAGTGGCTGCAACAATGGGCTCAAACACAGCAACAATTGCGAGGATGGCACAGGACCAGGCAGGGTTTCGTTCTGTTGTACACAGGGTCACTATGAGTCAGAACTGACTCGACAGCACCTAACAACAACATTAAGCAATTACTATACACCAGATACTGTGCTAAGCATTTTACATTTCATCCTCACAACATCCTTGTTAGGTCACCAACTATCCTATTAGCAGCATTTGCCACGGTTAATCACTCCCTCCTCCTTGAAACTCCTTCTTTCTTTCCATTCCAGGCCAACTTACTCTCCTGATTTTTTTCCCACCCTACTTACCACTCCTCAGTCCGCCCTTCTCCTCAGACTTTCAACATTGTGATGTCCAAGGGCTCAGCTCCTAGCTGCATTCTTCTATACTCCCTTGGAGTGATATTACCTAGGTTCATGCTTTAAATACCATCTATGTGCTGAAGCATCCCATTTCTATCTTCCCTATAGTCCAGTATATTCAATTATCTACTCAGCATCTGCACTTGCATAATCTACCACACAACTCAAACTCGAACATCAAAACTAAACCTCTGCTCTCCACTTTCTAAACATTCTCTTCCTCACAACAATGTATTTAATCTTTACAGTCCTCGGGTGAGTATATTTTTATTTTACAGATGAAAACAATAAGGCACAGAGAAATTAAAACCTCACTATTCTGCCTTCTTTGGCCTTGCAAATAAAAGGCAGTACAAAGCAACACACATTCCACATTCTAGTGCTTCAGTGACTGAGAAAGGAGAAAGAGATTGAGGTACATGGCATCCTCCTTCATAAGATATAAGGACCAATACCAGGCACTAAGCCAGCAGAAAACCAATACTTTTGCAAATTCTGTTAAACAACCTTCCTTCCTAAATTTCTTCACATTTTGGTCTTTACTTCTCAAAGAGGGATGTAAAAACATTCTAGAAAACGGATTCTCAACTCTAGATGCTCATCAGAATAATCTAGGGATCTTTTAAGAATCCAGATGGAACCTATTTGGACCTACTAAATTTAGGAGAGGTTCCAGAAATCTGTGTTTCTAAGAAGAACCCAAGCAAATTCTGAAGTTGATAACTTGATGCCTGAATTTGGGAAATCTCTGTTCTAGAAAGAGTTCTCTGGTCCTCAGACGATGAGTAATGACTATCACATATTTACCTGCCTAGCAGAGGCTGAAAATGAAATACTGGGGATGTAAACTGATTCCAGTGAGTGATAAGACCAATCAGGAAATCAGAGCAGTGACTGGTATTTTAGATCAGGACAAAAAGCACTTCCAGTTAGTCAAGGAATTTGTTACCATGAGAAAGTCTACAGCTGTGGTGGAATTGATTACTGATTGATAACTTTTGTGTGGCCATTCTAGCCATGGTCTTGTGACTCCCACCCAGGTGACTAGGTGGGGCTGTGCAAATAAGACAATTGTGGCCCACTGAGGGGATTGGTCGGTTTTGCCCTAAACCACCAAGGATGGCGAGACCAGCAGCAGAGACCTGGCAGCAGGAGATGGCCCGGTAGGCTTCCTGGCCCACGAAGAGAGAAAGCTGAGTGCCTTTGGGCAGAGACTGAGGGCCAGGAAGAGGCGTGCCTGCAAGTAGAGCTGGGGAGAGACTATCCTGATGGAAGAACTATATCCTGAGTCTTCTTGAGCCTGAATTGTAACTGTTACTTCCCTAATAAACCCCATAATTGTGAGTATCGTCTGTGAGTTATGTGTGGCCATTGCAATGAATTATCGAACCCAATAAAGAGTGCTGAGGGAGGGACAGTTGGTGTCAGAATTGGTAGAGATGGTGAACAAAGGAGGCGTGTCTGACCTCCACCTCACAGGAAGCAGCCCTGGGCTGTTGATATTGGTTCTCCTTCCCTCTTGTGGAGTTGGAGGAGGTCAGATACCACCCCCAAGCCGTTCTTATAGCAGCCAAGTGAGGCTATCCTCTGGCTTAGGAGGGTTTCTTCCAGGCAGCAAGAACCAATATGCTTGAGACTCATTGTTACGGATTGAATTATGTGCCCCAAAAATATGTGTTGTAAATCCTAACCTCTATGCCCATGGTGGAAAGCCTGGTGGCGTAGTGGTTAAGAAGAGTTCAGCTGCTAACCAAAAGATCGACAGTTCGAATTCACCAGGTGCTCCTTGGAAACCCTATGGGGAAGTTCTACTCTGTCCTACAGCGTTGCTATGAGTCGGAATAGACTTGATGGCAACGGGTTTGGTCTTGGTTTTTTTATGCCTATGGTTATAATCGTATTTGGGACTGGGTTGTCTTTTTTATGTTAATGAGGCAGGATTAGTGTAGAGTGTATCTTGAGTCAATCTCTTCTGAGACATAAAAGAGATTAAATAAGTGAGCAAAAAGAGATGGGGTAAGAGAGATGCCAAGATACATGGAGATCTCTAAGGAACCAGGAAGCAGAAGCTGAAGAGACAAGGACCTTCCTCCAGGGACAACAGAGACAGAAAGCCTTCCCCTAGAGCCGGCGCTCTGAATTTGGACTTCTAGCCTCCTAAACTGTGAGAAAATAAATTTCCGTTTATTAAAGCCATCCACTTGAGGTATTCTGTTACAGCAGTACTAAATAACTAAGACACTCATATTGACAGAGTATTCACCAGGTATTATCAGGGAACCCAAGGGTTTTTAAGAATTGTGGTCATCGTACCCTGGCAACAAAGAAAGCACTGTTGCCACTTTTACATAAACACAAATGCATGTACATTTTGTTTACATATGCAAGCAATAATTACCATAGTACCATAAATGCTGAAACTAAGGCAAAGAAGTCACTTCAACATGCTTATTGAATTCTTACCTCTGTAAGTGCGTGCAACTGTCCTTGATGTACACATACACCCATGAACCTACGAAACAAAACAGATTGTTTTTAGACAAACGAAAAGGACAGGACACAAACGCCATCCAGAGAAACTAGTTCAGTTATACATGCATTAAAAACAAGCCAATACCTGTGAAGCCCCCTGGGTTCCTGTACAACCCGGTAAGCCTCTCAATCCTTCCATTCCATGCCAGACTGGTGAATTTCTAAGTTTACCACGGAACAACTGGTTGTGGAAAGACCTTATGGTAAAAGCAATGGTGGAAGATGGAGGGTAGTAAACCTTAAAAACAGCATGGTATAACGGCAAAAGTACCAAATTGGCAATAAGGAAACTTGATACTAGTTTCAACTCTGACACTACCCGACTACATGCTCATTTAAAAAAAAAAAAAAAAATCACTAACCTTTGGGACTCAGATTCCTTACCTACAAAGTAAGTGGATTGAACTACTAAATCTCAAAGTCTGTAACTTTACAAACAACAAACTGTAAAGACTGCTGGAATGACAAAGGGCTAACTTCTTTAACATACAAAAAACTCCTCTAGATACATAATTTTAAAAAAGATAAACCATCCAATAGAAAAATGAGCAAAACGTATACACGTAGTTTACAGAAAAATAAATGTGTCTAATAAATATATCAAAATGCTCTTAAATTCACTCATAATTAAAACAAGGAGATACTACTTTTTAATCTAAAGATTAAGATAAGACTCAGTGTTGTTCAGAAGGTAAGAAAACAGAAACTTTACCCAGTTGACTTCTTGGCACAACTCTTTGAAAGGGTATTTGAGCATATCTAGCAAAAACTTTAATTAACCCAACTATTTCATTTCTGGGAATTCATCTTACAAATATACTCAATTCAGGTGAGCAAAAACAGATACAAAAGGACATCTACTTCAACAATGTATATTAACCTAAATACCCATCAATAAAACACTGGTTAAATACTCATGATATATTCATACACTGCGCAGTGGTTAAGAACTCAGATGCTAATCAAAAGGTCAGCAGTTCGAATCCACCAGCTGCTCCTTAGAAACTCTATGGGGCAGCTCTACTCTGTCCTATAGTGTCGCTATGAGTTGGAATGGACTCGACGGCAATAGGTTTCTTTTGGAATGCTATCTAGTCATTAAAAAGAATGAAGTAGTTCTTTATGCAGTGATATAGACAGGTACCCAAAATATACTGTTAAATGAAAAAAATCAAACTGTAAAACAATATAGCATGGTTTCATTTATGTAAAAAATGTTTATATATTAATAGAAAATGTCTAGAAATATTAATAATTAGTATTGAGGGGGTAGTGGGTGATTTTTTTTAGTTTACACACTTCTGTTATATTTGAAGTTTTTTTCCAACCAACAGGTCATATTTATATGTAAAAGTAATTTAAAAATAAAAACCATAAATTAATAAATGTGACTGATGGTTACCATAAAGTGGGAGAAGGAAGATAAATGTCACAAAGCCAGTGACAATAGGGGATTGGGTTGCCAAGAATGAAGCCTCGTTTACCATACCCAAGTCCCAAGCAAGCTGTAGTTTGGAAGGGCAAAGAAAAGGGAAAAGACTGACTACCAGCAAGAGCACAAGGCACAGCAGTGACTGTGCTGGAAGGACCATAGTTCCATAAAGGCAGAATCCATGTCATATATGTCCCCTGTGTTCACAGCACCTAACAGTGCTTCGCAAATAGTATGCGTGTTCAGTAAATGATGCTGAATGAAAAGGAACTGAATGTGGAAGAATGCTTGGCTGCCTGTAATACCACAGCAGAGTTTTTAAGACATGCTACTTCGACCAAAAATACTATATGTGGAAATTTCAGAGTTCCTCCAATGATTGGTTTGTGAACCGCTGGTTTTCTATAAGTTCATCTGGTGACTTGGGGGGAAATTGAGAGAGGAAAGAACCTGACGAAAGATCTAGGTAGTACTGAAAACAGGCTCTGAAGTCTAGTTGAAACTAACTTCTGTCTAGAGAAGAGAAGGGAAGTGGAATAGATAGTAAATTAAAAGGGCTCTGAAGTTAGAGGGTCTGGGTTCAAATCCCCCTCTACTCTTTATTAGTGGTGCATTAGTTTTTAGATAATATTATCCACAACATAAGACTGTTGGAAGGACTGAATGATAGTGCCTGGTACACAGTAAGAGTTCAAGAATAAAATATAAGCAATCATAATTATAGTCATTATTATTATTGGAAATAACTTTAAAGTGGGCCAGGTAAGAATCAAGTTTGGTCACAGGTGGTTGGGCAGAAGCTGATTCCTATATGCCCACTCTCCTCTCCATTCCCCAATCCTTGCTCACTACCTGTTTTGTAAAAGTGAGACATTTGACTTCATTCATCTGTCAGTTTCTTCACTATATAACTCATTATCTAATATGGAAGGGAAGGAGTAGGGCTAATGTGCAGCAGGTAAAACTCTAACAAATAATGAACATATACAACACAGAGGGCTGAAGGACTGAATTTGGAATGCTGAAGCTGTTTCTGGGCAACAGGGTACAGTGTGTATAAGCTATTTAGATAGAGTTATCTTGAGATTTCAATCAATGTCAGAAACTTTGGATGGGAAAAAGAAAGGAAGTTGCCCTGGAGCAGACAATCAATCTGGGCAGGTTACATTTGTACAGGTCACTCTTCTCTAAGCATTTTCAAAACTCCCCAATCAGGTCTTAAAATCTTTCAAGCAGCCATCTAAGACGCATCAATTTGTCCCACTCCACTTGGAGCAAAGGAGAATGAAGAACATCAAAGACACAAGGCAAATATTAGGCCAAGAGACAGAAAGTGTCACATAAACCAGAGACTCCATTAGCCTGAGACCAGAAGAACTAGACAGTGCCCGGCTACCACCAATGACTGCCCTGACAGGAACACAACAGAGACTCCCTGATGGAGCAGGAGAAAAGTGCGAGCAGAACTCAAATTCATGTAAAAAGACCAGATTTAATGGTCTGACAGAGACTGGAGGAACCCCTGAAACTATGGCCCCCAGATGGTCTGTTAACGCAGAACTAAAACCATTCCCAAAGCCCACTCTTTAGACAAAAATTAGACAGGACTATAAAATAAAAAATAATACTTGTGAGGAGTGTACTTCTTAGTTCAATCAGATACGCGAGACCAGAGGCAGGATGAGAAGGGAGGAAGTGACAGGAACTTGTTGAATGGACACAGGGAACCAGGGGTGGAAACGGGGAGTGTGTTGCCACATTATGGGGACTGCAACTAATGTCACAAAACAATATGTATATAAATTTTTGTATGAGAAATTAACTTGAGCTGTAAACTTTCACCTAAAGCACAATTTAAAAAAAAAAAAAAAAAAAGTCCCCAATCACTGGAATTAAGAGGGTCACTATGCTATTCATTCATTAAATAATTATTTATTGAGTGGCTATTATATGCAAGGCATTAAAGACACAGCAGCGAATAAAACGAAGTCCCTGCCCGCATAGAATTTCCATTCTAGGGGTCATTCTTTTGGAAGGAGATTGTAATAAAAAGATTGAGTATTTTATAGAACATGGTTGAACTCTATGCACAAACTGCTGTTTCTAGTCAGCCTTTTACAGAAAGGATGCTTCTCTGAGATTAAATGGTACCCCAGCCTAGGAATAATTCTATTCCCACTATCCAACCACAGGAAAAAGAGGTAAAGAAAAACATGATAAACTACATTTTCCCCTTCATTAAGGCTTTCCAAACTATGCTGAAGCACCATGAGGACTGGCAAACAATGGCCCTCTATTTTATTAAAAAGTTTACAACCCTTGCACTAGAGCATATGGTCCCCTCCTAGGGGACCTTAAGCAAGTTACCTAATCTTTATAAATTTCAATTTCCTCATCTGCAAAAATGGACATAAAAATAGCACTACCTTGAATGGTTGTTAGGAGGATTACAAGGGATAATTCAGGTATAGTGGTTAGCATAGTGTCTAGCATGAGCTCAAATAAAGGTTAGTGGTTTTAACTTCACCATTATTAACAATCCTAAACTATCCTTTACATGGCTATCAGGGTTACCTTTCCAAAACACAAAGTATGTCATTTCCTTTTCATAACCCTTCAATGGCTCCCTTCTCCCTATACAAAAAAGCCAACATTCCTTACTTACATCATTTAAAACTCTCTCTGATCTGCTTCAACTTACCTCTGGAACCTCTTATTTTCCAATGAGCCTTATTCTTCACCCATCTTTCCTCCTCCTCTGACTCTACTCTCCTAGACTACAAATATCCTTAAATTTCTCCTGTTCTGAAAAATTCTTCTCTCACCCCTCAATCTAAATAATGACCCCAACTCACTCTTTTCATTTGTGACCAAATTTTAAGAGTAAGTTACATAGACTATCTCCAGATTTCTTTAACCTTCAGTCATTCCTAAAATCATTATAATCTGCCTTTTTAACACATCACTCTCTTATAATTTTCCTCACTGTGAAAAAAGATTCAGAGTTTTATTTATCTCTGCATTTCTAGTACCTAGTATAGCATTTGGCACACAGTAAGCAAGCTCTCAGTAAAGATTTGTTGAATGGCATGAATGATTTTTAAGACCTGGTAACGTGATTCAAGATCCTTCCTGAGTTGGAACACTTCACTTACTAGAAATCATCCTTCTAGGATCAGATAAAATTTCATCTTCTCTGTAATGTTCTCCTAGATACCCTTAATGCATCTTGATTGAGAAACTGTAAATCAAATGCACTGATAATTACTGGTGACTGGAATTTGAAAGTTGGAAACAAAAAAGAAGGATCAGTAGCTGGAAAATACGGCCTTGGTGATAGAAACAACTCCAGAGATTGCATGATAGAATTTTGCAAAACCAACGACTTATTCATTGCAAATACCTTTTTTCAACAACATAAACGGTGACTATACACACGGACCTTACCGGATGGAGAAGGGGTCAAATCGACTACATCTGTGGAAAGAGACTATGGAAAAGCTCAATAATCATCCGTCAGAACAAGGCCAGGGCTGACTGCGAACAGA